GAAACAGTATAAGGTCAGGTTCGCTTTTCAGGAACCAGAGGACGACCGCTGGTTTACACGAACAGAGCTTCTAGAGACCACTCCCGATATAGTCCGAGCATACGAGAGAGAGAAGAAAGGAAAAGGTCCAGCATTAGACTGAAGTATTCTCGGAGGTCCTCAAATTTAGGCCGGCGGGAGTGAACACCGGGTAGGTGTGGAGGTGCGCTGGAATCTCGACTGTGTGGGACGGTCCATCCTCTCCGCCCTTGACTTCTAACACTGCCCACGGTCCTCGGTATGCAGGTAGCAACTTTTGCCAGATGTTCTCCTCAGGAGCAAACTCTTTGGACTTGACCCAGACTAAGTCGCCTACTTGAAACTGTGATGGGCGACGGTGCTTATTGGCTTGCTCTATCATTCTATGGTGGACCTTCCTGAGGTTCTCTGTGACGGTAGCAATCTCCTTTTCATAGTGTAGTGCAAACTCCCTAGTACCGGGTGGTAACCTTTGAATCTGATCCCGGTTCAGTCCCTCAAATGGTCTACGCGGTATAAAGGACTTATGTAACTCGTTGGGAGTGCAACAAGTCGCTAAGTGCACGCTGTTATTGTATGTGCTGGCTACCTTGGGAAGTATCTCATCCCAGTTAAGTTGATCAGGTCTAATATACATTCTGAGAACTTGTGGCAGGATTTTGTTCATCTGTTCAGTCTGACCGTTAGTCTCAAGATGACGGCCAGATGACATCAACAACCTAGAGCCATAGACTCTCATCAACTCCTGCCAGTTCTGACTAGTGAACCTGGTATCTCTGTCACTAACTATTGACAGCGGGAGACCATGTTCCCTGACCCAATGATCAAAGAACTTGTCTATAACTAAATATGTTCGTGCCTCAGAAGACAAAGGAACAAATACTGCATATTTACTAAATCTATCAACTATCACCATGACTTGGCTTTTGCCATGCCTACTCCTGACCCCAGCATCCATGAAGTCAATGGATACAGTGTCTTCGGGTCCGTTGGGAATAGGCAATGGTCTGAGAAGACCAGGGAGGGGCTCGCGTAGTGGTCTTATTCGCTGGCACACCTTACAATTGCGTACATACTCTATGCAGTCATCTTTCATGCCAGGCCAAGTATACGTGCGCATGAGGTTGGCTAATGTCTTTTGCCACCCAAAATGTCCCTCTATATCATGGCATTCCCACAAGATCAGACTTTGGATCTCTTCACTGTTGGGAACACATAATCGGTCCAGACTCCGTAACTCTTTTGAGGAGATCACTATAAATAGGGTCCTGCGCATACGCTTCCTTGACTTTCTGTTGCAGGTCTCTCTCTATATCCAGATAGTGAACTATCGCTCCAAAGTAATCAGCTCTTCTACTCAGGGCGTCCGCGACTACATTATACTTTCCTTTACCTGGCTTGAGCTCAAAGTCTTCAACCACCTCAGCGTCTCGTGGTATAAATACACTTTGAAGTGCCTCCCAAGCAAGTAGTGCTTCCAATGGTCTAATGCTTGCCTGAGAGCGTAGAGTTCTCTATCATAGGTTGATGTCGCTACCTTCTCTGAAGGCACTCTACGGGTCTATACTCGTTGCCATCATCTTGTTGTAAAACACCACCTATACCGCACTGACTTGCGTCAGTGGTGACAACAAACGGTAATGATGGGTCGGCTACCTTGAGGATTGGATACTCTATCAAGGCCCGCTTATACTTCTTCAGGGCCGACGTACAATCTCTATCCCATTTCCATATTGCATTTTTCTTTAGCAACCTGCGAAGGGGAGCAACGATGGCAAAAAAGTTCCTGACGAACTTTCTATAGTAATTGGTCAATCCTAAGAACGACCGCAACTCTGTCAATGTGTGGGGAGTTCGCCAGTCTCTAATCGCTACTATTTTACTGTCCTCAAGTTTTATGCCATCACCATCTAGCACGTGGCCCAAATACAAGACTTGCGTCTTGGCCCACTCGCACTTCTTCGCGTTGATCTTGAAGTTAGCTTCCCTCAGCTTCTCCAAGACTTGCCTCAGATGGCCCTCATGCTCCTGGAGGGCCTAAACCGATCATTCATATAGCGCTGGAATGTAGTTGGCGTGTTGGTTAGTCCAAAGGGCATCACTATAAACTCATAGTGCCCATATCTGGTCCTAAACGCCATCTTGTGCTGATCATCACGATGGACCTCTATCTGATGATAGCCTGATTTTAAGTCTATCTAAGACAAGTATTTGCAGCCCTGCACCCGATCTAACAAATCATCTATACGGGGCAGTGGTTCTGCATTCTTCACTGCGATGGCATTAAGACCCCTATAGTCAATACACATTCTCAACTCTCCCTCCTTCTTGGGGACGAACAGAACAGGCGCTCCAAAGGAGATGAACGGGCTTAATCCAACCCTTCTCGAGGAGCTCATCTAACTGCTTGCGCAGCTCCTCTAACTCCCTTGGGGACATTCGGTACACTGCTCCTTTGGGAGTTCTACTGCCAGGCTCTATCTCACTACAATGCTGGATCGACTGTTGCACTACTCCTATCGGCGGCTTAGCCAAATTTGTGTATTCTTGTAGCAGCTTGGCAATAATTGGGTCAATAGGTTTCTCTTCCTTAGGCTCAGTGACAGGCCTACCATAGGCTACGAAAACATGTTCCTCTAATTGCTCCTTCTTCACTAATCGCGCAATGCGGGAGCACTGAGACAACAATGTGCCAAGGTGTTGTCTACTCCTGACACATGAAACAGGTGAGCAGTCTTGACTTCGCCTGATGGACTAGGGAGCTTACACTCATGCTCTGTCAAGTGGAACGTGGCCCCTGCTGCCTCTCCCCAGTCCATTCCTAGGACCATGTCAAATGGGAGGTTGTCTTCTACGAGGAGAGTCAAGGAATGGAGAACTCTCTCTACTTTCTCATCTTTCTCTAGGCGAAAATACGCCTGGACTCCCTCTACGTAATCCTCGACTCGCATAGTGCGATTGTCTGAGAGGACACTGACTATAGGGTCTTCTAATTTTTATACCTTCAGATTCAACTTTAACTTCTGCAGCGCTTTTCTACTGATATAACTGCGAGTGGCCCCACTGTCTATAAAGGCCCCTACTCGTCCTCTAAAAATTTCTACATCTACTAACACTAGTTGTCCTTTCGCATCTTTCTTCATCTTGGCCCAGGCAGGCATCCTCTCCTTCAATTCTTTTGCCACGCCTGTGAGGGAAGTGCCTAGAGAGACCCTAACACAAGCAGTCTCTAGACAACTTTCTAGGCACTAGCCAGAAGCCTCTGCCATAGACACATGTGGTTTGGGAGTTTCTGTGTGGTGCTTGCACTCTTCTCCACATGGTCTAGGGGCAAGGGCAGGTGCGACCTCTACTGGCGGTTGCCTTTTGCTGCCTGTGCAGCATACCGGGCTTCTCTATATTTGGGCCAGTATTTTATGATATGCCCCGGATCACCGCAATAGACGCACTGATCCTGGTCTACTCGTCTCTGCCACACTGTCTGATCCAAGCCCAGATCTTCCCAGGGTCTGCCCTGTGGTAGAGCAGGGTGCCATCCACCCCTCCTGGGAGGTGATCGACTGGAACGCGAACGATTTGGCGGGGGACCTTGACCCCTACCTTCCTTTTGGCAGTTTCCTCGGCCGCCAACCCCCTGAGCGCCCCTGTCCTCGACCACCAGAGGCCCGGCCCCCTTGGCCCCGACCTCCTCTTCCTTGCGGCCTCCCTCCAGCCGCGACAACAACATAAGCCCTCCCCTGACTCACACTACTGTCCTCCTCCTCGAGGCCCCACTCAATCTGATTGTAGGGGACCTCTTCCATACCACCTTCATCTAAAGTAAGGATCAAATGATCCTTGGCCCTAACTTGACCAGAGATGGTACAACCCTTCCACTTTTTGCCCTTGTCAAGGTCCTTGTGTCAGAGAGTGGAAACTGGCATGGACTGCACCTCAAAAACTACCACTTCCCTACTTTGGGTATCATAGGTCATGGTAGGTTGTCTGCTCTTTTCGAAAAAGTGCCCGTGCAAAGGTTCGGGCATGGCTCGATAAAACAAGTTGACCAGCTGGGTCTCAGTGACCCCATGGTCTGGGACGGTGACCAACTCATCCATAACACCCTTGAGTGCCCTTTGCACTCCACTGACGAAAGTGGATGGTTTGCAGTTTGTCAGAGGCCCTTACACTTCGTGTGACATCTGCAAACTATTCACGAAGCAACCTGAAAAATTCAAGAAGGGGGTTGATTTTGGAGTAAGCTACCATATTCTTTTCACATTGCGCGGCGCGGGCGAGCTTCCTCCTCCTTAGTAGCAGCAAGCTTTGCGCCTTCATGGCGCCTGTGCAAAATCGTTCAGTATTTTCTATTCTGGCTCATTTTTATCCCCACATGAAGCATCATCTCGCACGCAAACTCTCTAAAACCCAAGCGTATGGATTGCAACGTGATGTCTTGGCCCCTAACCAACTGATAGTGCTCTTGCTAGGCCTTCACCAATAATTCTATATTTTTGGCCATTACCTCCATTTTTCCCAACACATCCGCCTGGTTCTCCATTTGCTGCCGTTGTTCTTCCACCACCTGCAATTCCTTCACCACCTTTATCGGCTGCATCCAACCGTTGCCTCTTTTCTCTCGCGAGGCGCAGCTTCCACTCGAACTTCTTCTCGTCCTCTATGACTTGGAGGTGTAACGGGTCTTCTTCTTCCTCTAACTGTTTCACCACCGCCTCTTGTTCTGCCCTGGGGATATATAGCATCGCTTCCTCCTCCTCTCCCAGCGACAGGTTTGCAACCCACTTTCTAATATTCTCCATCCACTGATCATCTTCTTTCGTGCCACTTGATTCTCCCCTTTCCGTTCTGGTCCTTCTGTCCAAGGGGACTTCCTCCACTTGCACTTCCTCTTCTTCTACTACCTTCAACTTCTCCTCCTCTTCTTTTTTCAACTTCTCCATCTCCTCCTCCAGTTTCTTCTTCTTCGTCGCCTGTACCTCCATCAAGGCCAACTTCTTGGCCTGCTTGATCAACTCTTTCTTAGCCTCTTTCCCTTTTCTCTTTTTTAGAACGGTGGCGGCTTGCTCTTCCTGAGCCTTAGTGTACGGGGTGGTGCTTCTACTGCTACGCAGGTCAACCATGGTGTCAGATGAACTACCAAGTGACAGTTCCACTCCTCACCACTTAGACTTCCACCCCCCTGACTGACTTAACTATCCGAATGACCCTCTAAGGACCACAACGCCTTACCCTTCGATCCAACCAAGTTACCACGACGAACGGAAGCTTTCGCCACCACTGTCCTTTACAAACCAGACCCAGATGCCCTGCACCAGCGGTCAATCCCACTTGGCTTTCTCTCCGGTTCAGGACCCTGTCAACTAGGGTCTCTAGCCTAAACCTATTACTAAGTTGTCACTACAGGACTTCTATGCTGATCAGGAGGCATTTAAGGAGATCCCCCATAACTCCTCACGAATTGTTTAACATCGCAAACAAGACGACGCAATCAGCAAGTCCTCTCAACACTTGGACAACTGGTTGTGCAGCCCACAGCTCGGATTTTGGGCCTACCATGCCACACTGAGCAGCCCGCCGGTCTGTACCGGTCCTTGGGAGGGTTTGTTCTTTGGGTCAATCAGTCGCCAGACACGGCCTTTAGCCCTACTCAGCCCGTGTGGGTTTGGTCAACATAGCTCTACGACCTCGTATACAGAGTTCCTATCACCTAGATAGAAGAGAATCAATGCAGAAAGAAGAGACATACAAACTCGGCAAGTACCATGGGGTGAGTGCACATCCATAGGGCGAGGGGATAGGCTGAAGGCTTGGTGAGAATATACCAACTCCACCTCGGTCAAACTTGTGGTCCACAACTCCGATCAACGCTGGTCAACGCTTGTCAACTCTTGGTCAACACCTCGATCAACTCTCGCTCAACCCTCGGTCAACCCTCGGTCAATGCCTTGGTCAACTTCGGTCAACTCCTTGGTCAACTTCGGTCAACTCCTTAGTCAACACCTTGGTCAACGCTCAACTCGGCTATGGCTGCCGGGCCCTTTCCTCTCACCAACCTTCACTTCTCTTCTCCTCCCTCCTTCCTTTTTTCTTCTTCTTTCTTACGTCACCCCGGCTATGGCTTCCCTCTCCTTCGTCGTACCTCCTTCCTCTTCCTCGGCTATGGCTTCTCACTCCTTCGTCGTCCCTCCTTCGTCGTCCCTCCTTCCTCTTCCTCGGCTATGGCTTCTCTCTCCTCCTTTGTCTCTCCCTCCTCCTCTCGTCTTCTCTCTCCTTCGTTCACTCTGTGTCCGAGCTCAACGGCTATGGCCGCCACTTCATTCCTTGGACCGCACAACAATCTTGTATCGCTTCTCTCTCTCTCTCTCTCTCTCTCTCTCTCTCTCTCTCTCTCTCTCTCTCTCTCTCTCTCTCT